CCCGGCCACTTCAAGGACCCCAAGCGGCTGTACTGCAAAAACGGGGGCTTCTTCCTGCGCATCCACCCCGACGGCCGCGTGGACGGGGTCCGGGAGAAGAGCGACCCTCACAGTGAGTGTCGGGCCTCTCTTCCTACGTCCGCCATCCGCTGCCCTCCAGTGGCTTCCCCCGCGGGGCTCTCGGCTGCCGCCCCACTCTTTCCGCGTAGCCTTAGGGGGTTCTGGGTCCCCGCTGCGTCCCTCCCTCCTTCCCGGCGCCGCAGGGACTCGGGGCCAGTGTGCCACTTGCCCCCGCCAAGCGGTTCCCCGGGCCCGGAGCCAAGGGGCGCCCGGTTCGCGGGTGGACTCTCCGCTGGCGGACAGCCTAGAGGTTGGGGTGGCCGGGCCGCAGCGGGGGGTCGTGAGCCGGTCGCAGAGCCGGGACCTGCAGCCCCTCGCGAGGTTCCCAAAGCCGCTCGGTGCGTAGCCCGCTGCCGCGCAGCCTAGAGGTTGGGGTGGCCGGGCCGCAGCGGGGGGTCGTGAGCCGGTCGCAGAGCCGGGACCTGCCGCCCCTCGCGAGGTACCCAAAGCCGCTCGGTGCGAAGCCCGCTGCCGCGCGCGAGGCCCGCGGGGACGCAGCGCAAACACCTTTTGCGGGCGAGCGCCTCTCGATTCCAACTCTGTGGGAAGGACGGGGCAGCGGGCCCTCTCCTCCCGGTGAGTTCTCGCTCTACTCCCCCACACTCCCCATTTCTGTTTGAAGCCCCTCACCCCAATAGTGCAAAACTTAAAGGAACTTTTGTTAATCAAGTGTAGCTTGCCTATTTGTTAATCAAGTGTAGCTTGTCTATTTGTTAATCAAGTGTAGCTTGTCTATTTGTTAATCAAGTGTAGCTTGTCTACACTTGTTAATCAAGTGTAGCTTGTCTAAGGACAACAGAACCTAACATCCTTTGCACCTGCAGTTACTAGCTGTGGGACTTTTAAGCATAACAACCTAAATGAGGACAGTGGCTCTTGCAGTGATTTGGAGGATCAGATGAGATAATTTATACAAAGTGCAATGCAGTGCAATTGCCTACACCCTTGC